GTCCAAAGTGGTAAGGTTAATGCACGTAACTACAGATGATATGAATATCGTGGCATCCTTTGGGTGGGGCATTTATAATTTTATACATTGTCCTTTATTCAAAAGCATGATAGGTTCAAAATATAATATAGGTTATGTACAATCTCGATTTATGGAGATCAAGTAAAGCGATCAATTTCGCTGAATACTTATATTTAAATGACAACTTGACGTTAATGGTCTATTGAATTAACCCTTTTAGTGCCGAACGACGATATATCGTCGTTTGCTACACTTGCGAAAAGTGCCGACGATATATCGTTGCGTATACGACGGCGCCTTATTCTTCGCATTGCGAGAAAGTTTTATCTCAAAATAAATTTATAAAACGTTATAAACGGTTTAATTCATTCCAAAAGAATTTAAAAGATTGTTTTTTGGTTTAACTTTTTGTTATATTCTATGCTGGTTGGTGTCGAGGCTCTGTATACACTAGAGCAATAAGGTAGAAACTCGACGCGGGATAGTTTCTTGGTACCGCAATCACTATATGTTTATGATAGTGTAGTGGGTGTAAGAACTGTGCTCTTTCAATTAGGTATAGTAACGATTCGTCAAATTCGTCCGGTTATCTTCGCATAGGCACCCGTTTTTCGCTCGGCACTAAAAGGGTTAATAAACAAAATCTGATATTGTATTAAGTCGTTTATAAAGTTCAAATTGTTATTCGTGAATTTACATAATATATGTAATAAACATTATTGTCTATGTAATTAAAAATTCTATTTAGCACAGTAACAGATTATCAAACTCAATCTTTTTTTTTATATTGGTGTTAAATATATTCTAGTGATATATGTATCACTTCATATTTATTCGTATTTTATAAAACATTTATTGTTCTTTTTAATAGATCATAAACTAAAGATTAAAAGCAACATATATGTCACATATTTCCATGTTCTCTTTCCTATTATCTAATTACAACTAATAGGTTATAATGTATTGTAATTTGATAAAACGTCGTCCGATTTAGTTTGACAAGACTAGATGAGTCAAAAAATAAACCGAATTCCCACTTTTTCTTTTCATTTAGTCCACAGTTTACGATGCTATCAATGCATCAGCACAAACAACTCGCATCCCTTCCAATGCAACGAAATTCTCTCCAGCGACATCGATATCGAACCACAGCCTTGTGATGCTGTTTTCGGGGCGCAGTATTGCGTGAAGCACATAGGCCGATTTGAGGGTAAAACAATATCGGCAGTTCAGGTTACATATCACGGGAAGGGAAATCGGTTGCTAAATTTAGTATTTTCAAACGAAAACTAACCTTAAATCATATAGTAACAACAACGCTATATCAATTTATCGAAGCATGCGGAAGCAATCAGAGCACGATCAATAATCATCTCGATCTGATTTGGTTTTTAGGTGACTAACATACTTTAAGTCACATTTCTATGTAGGGATGCATTAGTTTATAAGTAATATTCGATGTGTAACGACAAAAGATTTACTTTTTATTATTGAACTTATAATAAAAACTAATTTGATATTAAAGTATTATACTTGTACTTTGAGAACTTGTCGTTAGATGTTGAAAAATGTGCTGGGTAAATTAATATACGTCATATTGATTGTAACATGAAATAAATCTATAAATTTACGCGTACAATAACAAACGCTATAATCGGTTCTTTTCCAATCGATTAAGCGACTAGTCTGGATTGCTACCAATGTACATCGGAAGAAGAACTGTCTTGTGGAGATAGCAGTTTGGTTCTAAGTACCTTACAACCAGCGAACTGCAGTCATGTATACGATGCACGGTATTGCATCAAATCGATTGGACGATTCGGAGGTTCATATATTGTATTTTGGGTGTTCTTGGTGTCGAGTGTGCACCAGTAGATTCTCCTTATTTCTGTTACACGAGGATATTGCTTTCTTCAAATTTTCTATCAAAATGTAAACAACAAATTTTAACAAAAAGTAATATTTCATACATGCCGTTTAGTAACTCCATAAAAAATAAATAACTAGGGACTATACCGCATGCTGCTTTGCTAAGCACGCTACTTCCTTAACATCTCTCATCCTTCATACAAATGCATGCTACTATTTTTGTGTGAGCCAATATTTTTTAATTTTCATTAATAAGATAAAACACAATCTTTTCCTCTATATGTTGAGATAGGTGGAATAGGCACGAAGCGGTTTTGTTCTGCATTGGATCAGGGGAACTATTGCGACTACGTTAATCAACAGGGTGACCAGCTAACATATCGAACCTGCATCTTCACTTGTACCGGCGACGGATGTAATCCAGCAGCTATTATGAAACCAAGTATCATATGGATGGTATCGATTGGATCATTATTAGCTTATAAATTATTCCTCGAGAGGTAGATATTTTCGTAACAGAAAATTTTGCTGAATGCACGTTGTATGCATATAGGGTGAATATAAGAATTATTATTTAACATCTTATCCGTCCTTGATGTGTTAACACGAAGTGATATGAATGTTAATTTGCGATGTACTTTGAGGGAACAATTTGCATTCCATTTATTTTTTTATTATAACATATTACTGTAATAATACCGATGTGCCTTACTTTTTTAATAACATAAACAGAGGTACATGTTAGTTACCAAAATAGTGTTAACACATTTTATAGTACATATACAAATTTTATAACTTAATTTTGGAATTATATTTAGGCTTATATTGCGTAATCATAGATTTAATATTCCTCACCGACTGTCTCATTGCAAATACGCTTATATTTGTTTAAAATAGTCGTATTTTGCATAACACAAAAGTATATTCTAGTATCTAGAATTTATCACTAGGTTTTAATCAATACATTTTTAATACGAATTACGAATAAGATATGTATCCCAAAACCGAATTGTAGTAACATTATGTTTCCATCCGTACACAACCTTTAAGCTTGTATACTTGTACGGAATTATTTTTTTTACCTTGTTTTTTATTAATTTAACGAGGATCTAGATTAACTACTTCTGTATATTTTTATACAAAATCGTTTTATATTCTTTGAACATTGTAGATACAAAAACTTATGTTTTTTTCTTCAGACTTTGTTCTTTAAACATTTAAGCGGTCAATTATGTAATTGAACTTAGAAATTAAGGAAATTATTGTATGAATCACAAGATAATATAAATACGATCGAATGCTTTGTTCTTTATTTTCATCGAATGAGATGTCTCCCACTCGTACATACACGTATTCGTTTTTCTGCGTATAAATATAATATGATATAGTCGATCAACTGCTGATAACAATTGTTTCACGACGATCCGCAATAAGGTACTTGCACGTTCTTTGGTATATCCATGTTTATACAGCAAACGGTACATAGGATAGCACTCTCCAATACGACGATACACGTTTATTTAATGTTTGCCAAGCAAAAGACTTTTGTCGAGTAATACAAAGTTATAAGATTGCGAGACTGATTGCTAGCAAAGCGGCTTTCATGATAAAAATTTTTGGAAAAAATGTATATTGTCATGCAAGCCTCATCATATAAAAGTTTCTATAATCGTGAAACAAAAAGAACGCACACACAGGCTAATATCGATATCTAATTATGATACCTGGCGACTAACGCAATACATTGTCTATGTTGTATAATAACACAATGATTAATGATTCCTATCTGTACGTATGGCTGTGTTTAAAATATTGAAGGAAACACAGAGTGAAACATTTCAGAATGATACTTTTTCATCATGCTACAAGCAATGATCAATTCTTATGGAGCAGATTGAAAATTCATTATCATTTAATGAGAATATAATGATGATATTTTTTGTCTTTGATGTCATTCTTCTCTTTTTTCTATTTTCTTTTTATTATGATAATTGATGTGCGCTGAACACAAGCATATTATATATATTAGTCGTTAGAATGTTCACTCAAGTTTTTTCTTTTCTTTTTTTTACATTTTGTTGCTTGAAATTACAACTATATATCGTATGAAAAATACATATATGTATATGTATAAACAGTGTATATAAACCATTACTAAATCTGATCGCTATTAAGCAATAATAGAATTTTTTGTGACTAACAATTTTTCCCCAGTTTGTTGGTCCTAGAAATGTATAATTTGACACACATATATATATCAGCGTTACTTCGTGTATATATATATATATATAATAATATGAATAAAAGTGAATAAAAAGTTGCTATAGTATTTTTTATCTATAACAATCGGTGTAATACACTTCTTGTTTTTTCTTTCTTAATTAATGATTCGTGATCATAGTGTTTATTCATTTTTCTTTTTTTTTCTAATTGATAAAATTTCTACTATGCATATACATTAAGTTCTATCTACTTATCTGTATAAAAGAAGTATCAGCCTAAGGTTTGAAACCATTTGTAGTGTACAATAAATAACATCACCGCCATGCGTTCGCTAAAAAATTATATTGCCACTGATACCATGGCAGTGAATGTGGCAGTAATCAATACACTCGACAATACCAAGTAGCTTAGATTTAACAAGCTAATACACCATCGTTATATGTTACGTACGAAGAAAAAAAAAAAGAAAAGCGAGTCATATACGAAATAGAACACAATATTAGCTTTAAATTACATGATCAATTAATGTATAGTCATTCTAACAGAATTCATAAATATCGCCGACTATCGACATCAAGAAATAATCATTCGTTAATTATTATACAAAATGAGTCAAACAATAAATACGATCATAAATATCATTAAAATAATAATAAATCTATTGTATGAAAATGAAAGAAACAATATTACAGAAAATTCATCGAATTATCTTTTTCGATTTTCATTTTTAAGAAATCTCGAGTTTAATTATTAATTATTATTATTAGTCCTTGCATCTTGTGTTATTTTCAAATCTCCGAATGATGTTTATTTTATTGCGTTCATAATATTCTCTTTACAACTCCTAAATATCTCTGCATTTATCTATCACTCTATGTACGACAATTCTATATAGAACGAATCGCATACGTGCGTATGCACAAGGCAGGTACAATTCTTCATGTACTGAACATTTAATACTTCGTCCAAGTTTTGTATCTTTATACCAAGCTGATCTTTCTCCTTCACTATGGTTACATATATAATTTATATAAAAATCAATTCCTAAAAAGAAGGAAAAGTTCGAACAATCAGTAATATTTATACATCTACATTTTGGTGTGCAAAGGAACGTGTTCAACTTCACATGACAAAAAAAGAACATCATTTGTGAAACATGTGAAAATTGCATAATGAAACATCATATCTAGGAGAAGTATCAACATTTTATATAGACAAAAACTCGTCTGTATAGTGAAGGCAATAGTGTAAATCACAATCATTGTTCGTCTTTTTGTTCAGTTTCTCTACAGCAGAACAAGTTTTTGAACTGCATCCTAAAGAAATTGACTAAATTATTGTTGCTTCATTGCTGCGTTTTCTTTCAACAACGGTACAAGATTACCACGCGAAATTGTAAAATGAGAAATTAACATATAGAGAAATGAGAAATGCTATAAAAATTAATCGTATATCGTTCATAAAATACACTAATGAGAGTTGTATAACTGTGTTAATATATTATCAGTATATAACCAGCATAAGTTTCCAGTCCATAAAGTTCCTCGAACACTTTTAAATACTCTTTTACACATTTTTTTTTCTTTTTTTTTTCTTTTTTTTTTGTGCAGACTTTGTCAAAAGCTTAGGCATTTAAGTTGCCATGAACAATACACAAATGCATTATTGGTTCGTTAAGTACCATGTTTTTCATACAACTAGCAACAAAGCTACAAGGAATTTTGTTTGGCGCATATGTTAAGGACCCCTTAAAAATTTTTATTAATGCTGAAGTTTGCGAACTTGTTCCTCTAGTTCTTTCACACGCAACTGACTGTTCGCGAGCTGCCTTCGTACCAATCTTAATTCATCAGTCTGGCGAGCGAATGCCAATCTCAGTTCCGCCTCATTATTAGGAATATCTACATTTTCTAGGACCTTATTATCATTTAGTGGAGTAGAAATTATATTTTTCTGCAAAACGTGTTGATTAGTAGGATGTGAAAATGTCATAAAAACTTTAAAAAAAAGGGAATAACAGTTTTACCTGTAACACAACATTGCCGAATTTTTGTTGCAATTGTTGAAACTTGGTGCTCTGATTACTAGACGTTTTTTGACTTTTTTCTGACATATCGTGAAACTCAATGGGCCTGTAATCTGGAACAGTCTCGGCAGACAAAAAAGCAAATTTCTTTTTATTATTCAAATCGGTTGTCGGTGGAATTTGTGGTGGCTTGTACACTCGTGGTTTGTGCGTGGTAATGCTGCCACCTGTTGATATTTAAGCAATAAAATTAAGTAACAAGTACAAAGAAAAAATGTAAGATAAAGTGAAAAGTTCAATGATCATACCAGTCTTCAAAGAAATTAAAATTGGTGGGCTATTCATGCCATTTATCCAGTCCTTAGCCGATAAAGCCGGACAAGTGCCTATAGTGTCGGGATACAAGTCCTCTTGGAATTGATCGCTCTAGAAAGTGAAAGTCCTTGGTAATTATATCGAATAATTAAATTCATTTGATTTAACTTTATATATTTTAATACATTCACCTTTCGAGGAACTATCATGGCTATCGGCTCACACATCCCACGAGTTGCATGCAATTTATAAAATCTAAACACTTCACAAATAGCTGTGTTGATACCTCTTTTTGGCATTACACCTAATCCTCTTTGAGGATTTCCAGATATGAATTGACTAAGGTAATGCATCCAAGGACTCTCATTTACAACCTCGTAATACCGAATATTACCATCACCCTGTAATAAGCAAATATAAAACATGGATTCTAATTAAAATATTTATGTAACAGTTTTTTAATATACTTCTTTACCTTTCCCGCCAAGTACACCATATTAGTGTCATTATCATAATATGGAAAAACTACTCCACTAGAGGAATCAATAGTTTCACATATTAATGGTGTACTCAAATCATGCTGACTCCAAATAGCATACTGTCTGTCAGAATATCGACTGAAACCTGTCGTAAGAAGACGTCCAGAGCTACCAAGAAAAACCACTTTACTAGCTTTTGTTCCAGCATGGCAGACTCCTTCCTATTCAACGAGTGATTATTACAAATGTTTATTCAAATAAATTTGAAGGAAATAGATTCAAGATAGATCAAAGTAATTAGTTTATACGTACAGAGACCGTGATACCAGATCTTGCATCGAAAACCCTCAATTTCTTATCCTTGCATGTCGTTGCCAACAGATTTCCGTGACGATTCAATGATATACTATAGATCACATCAGGGTGTCTATCGATCACATTAACGGCCTCTCCTCTATTTATATCCCATACTATAACAAGATGATCAAAGCCAGCACTGAATAGTATGTTCTCGGCAACAGGGTTCCATTCTATGTACGCAACGCGACGTTTGTGCCCTTGCAACTCCACCAACCACTCGGTCAAATTTCGTGACAATCCACCATCAGGAATGTGCCACAATTTTATCTGAAGATGGAATTGATAATAAAAAATATTACAAAATGAAATTGCAGAGAGTATATTTTAATATGACGAAGTTTTATACTATATAAAGGAACTCTCAAATCTTAGAAGAAACAAAGGCAATAAAAGAAAAATATGGGCTGAATTAGGATTCAGTTCCATAGATAATGAATCATAGGCTTATAGATGAATACCATAGCGTCTATGATTTAGATGCTCGTGATAGCAATTTATCACGATAATAGGTTATTTACTTAACACGACGAAATATTGTTTTTCATTAGACTCAACTTATTTCCTTAAAAGTTGAAATTTACAACAAGAGACCACAGTGTAAAAATTATAATCTATTTCTTTATCTGTTCATAAAATTTTATCTACCTAACACTATAAGTAATCATCCCTCCAATGAATAAAATTTCGTCTATTATTTTAACCAACGATTCATAAAACTAGGAACGTGATCGTACAGTGCAGTCGTCGGAACAGGAAGCAATGATATTATCGTTGAACGGATTCCACTTGATGTCCAGAACCGGTCCAGTGTGTCCAGTCACTCTGCTAGCGTTAAAATCCAACCTACCCGTCTGAAAAAATAAAAAAGTCTCAACCACAATAAGCCATTAATTAAACGATTCAATAATCTTATTCAATAAATCATTAAATTGTATTCTTATCCCTATGCATTTCATCGTCTTCGACTATCCATTAAAGAATAACTTTCTTTTAATAGCATTCGATATCCACGCTATTTGCGTTGATGTATAATTCAATAAGCGGGCGTCCACGATAAACCAACCTTGCTGATATACTATCAAGCTATCAAAAGACGTTAGTTCGTGTGCGTAACAAGAATAGCGAATCGATAACCCGATAAGCTAGATAACTCACGCGATCGAGCGGCAAAACCAGGAACGCCCCGCCGCCTGCCACTTCAGTCACGATGGCGAGAAACTTGGGATTCACGGCGCAGAACTGTGAGTCGTGGGCGTTCTTTGTGATCTTGATATTGTCGTAGCATTTCTCCCGTTTGGCTGGTGCACCATAAACGTGACGAAATTTGCTGCTCCGAACGCCACGAAACCACAACTGAAAAATTAATATATGATTAGTATCGATAAGACAGGAAACCTCACAAAACTCAACAAACAACAATCTGAACTAACAAATCTGAAATTTGAAGGAAGATCGTCCTAAATCTAAAATCTAGATGGAAATTTCAGTTTCAGGCTTTTAATAAACTATACTTTTAATTTTACCATATCATGATTTCAGGATTCCTTTTCAGACCTACTTACGTTTTCAATTTTTAAAATACTCTATTAATTCCTAGATAAGATACAACATTTAATAAGATGATAAGATAAAGTAATATTCTAATCGTATGAAAACGAAATTAGGTTTGAGAAAATCTATCTGGTAAGACTGACTTAAAGAATAGAGTAACACGTGTCCAAAAAGATTACTCAAGAGGACATTTTTAATTGCTCCTACAAATCATGCAACCACATCGCCAGCTCTTAAGTAGATGCTGATGATAGAACGTGTAAAGTCACTTTGCCATGGCGTTGATAGGTCGATGAACTTAAGACGAGAATAACCATCCTTCGAAGCAGATCTTGAAGCTAACCTTGAGGTGTCTGAGCACCCTTTCCTGAGGATCAATCTCGGCCAATTTTCGAGTACCATCATTCAAACAATCTGATTAAAAATTTGCTCATGCTTCAATCTGATTATGAGGGAATATCAAACTTCTTCGAACTACATTGTGTGATTTCTATTACCATATCTTGTAAAACAAACAGGAAAATCACGTTTCTAGGATATTCTTCGAAGACTATTAATCGAAAGCTAAATGCTGAAAAAATAACTTATCTTTGGTTAGTTTTGCCACAGATTTAACCGAACGTATCGTTCATTAACCACGTGATCTAATGATTACTACGAGGATCGTTACCAACCTTACAGTTCATCCAATTACCTTTAAACAGCGTGCACGGCGTTAAATTGAGATCGACTCGGTCGTTTCTGATCGCTCGAATTCATCGTTAACGACGCTCTGACGAACGATTACCCGCACCAAGGTCAATAGCACGACGAGCAGAACGTATTTATGCGTTTCTGAGACTCTCTCCAGCTCAGAAACCGTGAAGAAGAAAGTTTCGTGGAACAAGGTGGTCCGAATGTGTTACCAAGTCAAATCAAATGCCTCTGATATCATTATCGAAAAGTTCGATTTATATCGAAACTACGAGCAAACGATACTTTATTCTCTGAATGATTCTTTTTCTCTAAAATCTGTTGGAATTAAAGAAGAAGTTACAAAGATGTTCAATATCTCTAACAGATCAACTTAAGATGATACAAATCTTTGATCTCAACTGTCAGTTGCAATTTTTCGGTGTCAGAATTCTCTTGAGGTTAAAAACATCGGAAAGAATGTTCGATACCTTATAGATTAATGAAAGACTGTAAATCTTTAATTTTTAAACACAAATTTTTAATCTTCGACATCTTTCACTATCAAGGAAAAATATTTTGCAAAACTAAGCAATTAAAAAGATCCGCAATTCATTGTTAGTAAGTAATAACGATGTAAGAGATCAACTATGTTCCGACGACCGAATCTCGTTTGCGCGCGCATAAAATCAACGTGATGTGAAATCTTTGAAGTTAGTCGCGCGTGGTGCGCGTGGCAGGCAACGTAGCGTGGTGAGACAGAGCAAATTATGCGACTTTTTCTTGCAATAACCGAAGAAAATACACGTCGAACGGTCTCACGTTCCGGTCCCTGCGAAATTCTAACCGTAAGCCTTGATCGCAGGCACGGGCACGATTAACGGTACGCCTCTGCATCATTTTTCGTCATTTTTATACACGTCACTACCACCACAGCGTATCGAGGACAATGAAGATGTATTCGCGTGACATTTTACGAGTTTAAAAGATCACTTTTATGTACATACATCGATGCGATTGTGGCGTATGGAGGATGACAAAAGATTATTCTCATAATATTTTTATGAGTTTCAATGTCGAAAGCATAGTCGGTACTTTTGATGCAGCATCGAACCGTTAGATGGGAGGTTCTTTATCTTTTATGCCGCATGATTCATGAATTTATCGGATTATCATACTAATAAGTTGATTATTACCAAGAATACATTTTATCTTTGACTTTCATAGATGCACTGAATCCTGTTTATTGAATGAAGGATTTAAAATGGTTGGTAAAATGAAATAACGATTTGCAAAATGAGATGTAATAGGGTCACGAATAGTGTATTAGTAATGAGGAAAAAAGTATTAGCCTGTGAGATAAATTCTAATAGACCCTTGCTATGACACACGTAAGTAACTACAAAATTTTCAGATTAGTGCTTCAGATATATAAATAGGTTTATCGACAAAAATTGAGTATAATTATGTACTTCTAATATCAGTTTTTAATACATTTTAAATTATCTTTATTGGGTCATGAAACTCTAATTTTTCTTCCATTAACCAAAGAGATAAAGTAGGAGAGAAAATGATCTTCAAGAATGAACGAAAGTAGCATAGATCAATCCAATAAACAATACAAACGACAGAAATTGAAAACACGATTGGTATTTATTTGTGAGGTTAGAAAAGATCGATCGACGGTATCAGAATTATCACAGTAATTGGAACCGCTCGTCACCTCGATTTTACTATTTGCATGTTCGTCAAGAATGATCAGCTAATTTAACCGAATCGATCGTGTTTCGCGAATAATAATTGCGTGGTGTGTTAACGACAATTAGGGTCATAGGAGTGCTATACGCGCGTGCGATAGTAATCGCGCCTGTCTAGTCACAATGCCATCAAAATATTACGAGTATCCTGAAATGTAGAAAGATATAATTAAATCACAAAATCATGGAATAGAGTATGTAAAATTTATAATACAAAATTTTAATCCTTTATTTGATCATGCAATAATCAAACAAAATATCTTTTGTACACGATGAAACAATGACACAATTAGACAACCGAATCTAAAAGAAAGAGAAAGAGAAGACAGAAACTGAATACGAGTATGTACATGTGTGGTGCATCGTGCGGAAAGAGTACAAAAATATCTCGATTCGTTGTGCCATTTCTTCTACAACCTTTCTCTCGTGACAATTCTGAGAGACTACGGTACAAAATAGAGACAAACTACTGTTTACTCAGCACACTCAAAAGTTCAAACGATATAGTCGTAGAAAACAATCGAAATTGTTCTCGATAGTTGGAGGTCTGATAAGGATCAAGTATACTTGAGCAGTAAGTCATAATAGAATTTAGAAAAGGTGAACTTACATATATTACTGAAATAAATGAATCTAAAACAGGAAATTGAAAGAGCTGAAATTTCAATACTGTAATCGAAATATTAATGCCAAGAATCAAAATTTTATTTTATTCTATTTGGGAACAGATTAACAATTAATTTGTTAAACAAAACTTTACTTGACACGAGGTTATATTACTTTCTAAAATAATTAGAAACGATAACGTCCGTATTAGAAAAATTGCAACAGAGTTTAATTATTTTCTTCTAATATACATTGAATTCTCAAATGCAATTGTTAAAAAGCAGATTAAATTACAATATGGAGCAAAAAAATTTATTAAAATTCCTTTGACTAAAGGAATTGTTTATTTAAAAAATTGCTACACTAGAGCTAGAAAGATCAATTCTACCGCACTGTATATTTTATATGTGCTATTCATTAGTGATGGAAGAAAAATGTCAGCATTGGTAAACATCGGATCAGATAGAACAGTAATACGACACTTGTACTCGTTTTTCATTGATTATTATAACTGAGAAGACAGCACCTTGGCGTGCGAAATTCGTAGAACTTTGTTTCTTCTTCTGCGTTCTAGATTCATCCCTTGTGGTATCGATCTACGAGTAAGGTTCACCAATAAAACCTGTGTTTTTAGAGCTTCAACATGACCGTGGTATATATATCGTGGTACTTCGTACCGTAGATACTTATAAAAATTGATCTACCTTCGTATTATATGGCCACCAAAAATCATTATGAACTTTTGTCACGCGTTCTTCTTTCGAAATATACTGAAAATCTAAATTGAATACTTTCAAAAAATTCCGAACTTCAAGATCTATCAGGAAGTTTATAAAAGTTCATAAACTAATTAACTAATTGTTAATTAGTATTTCACTTTCATTGATTATCTTCATTGATAAATATTATTAAAATTCGTAACGCTTTCACCCGAATGAAGTTCAGATTTTCCTCTATCTAAAACATTAATAAATCGATTTTTAAAATACTCAAAAATATATTTAAGAAACAGTGGCGCAAATTAAAGTTAAGAAAGAACCTTAAAATATTTCATTTCTTATAAAGTACTGGTATAATTTTCTCAACGTTAAAATTGATCTCTTTTAACCTCTCCGATTAAGAAATACTTTCCGATATTTGCCATTAAATATACTTCCGTATAAAAGAAAAATGAAAAGAAGAATGGGATGTCCCGTACATTAACTTTCACCCCGTGCATTTGAACGAGATCTCGTCTGAAGCATTGTGTGAACGACAGCGCCACGAAATATTTCACTCAAGATGGTTAACACGCGAGAAGATTAGACACCCTCTCGAACATCGATACCACGTGACATCAAATTACCGGGAATGCTTGTGTTCGGTCAGAGAAAAAATAAGTGAAAGAATCGATCGTGAAACACCGAAAGCACTCACCTGTTTATCCTTGGTCATTTCTGATACTAATCGAGCTCAGGTAGCTGGTACACGTGCGCGGTGAGACGATGGTCGCCGACAGTGCACAACAGGAACGTAGTAATTGGACAAGCCAGGACCCATGCATGTGAAGGAGAGGATATTCAACTACTTCGAAACTTCGCGCTCGTAGGCGAGCGACTGCACAAGCGGAGACAAGATTTTCCCGCTTTACTGGAAGAAACAAAAAGGGAACCACACGAGGCTCGTCTAATTACGTGATCATCGAATCAGACGCGAGTCATTAGGGTCACCGAGTCGTAACCATACATATCATACAATACACGTCTTTCTATGCTAATTTCTGTTTTTTCTGTCTCATTAAATAGTATACTTGTTTTGTAGCATGGCGAGGAATTGCGAAAACTGAAAATAATCGTTCTCAAAGAAATTAATTCTCACGATGAGTCATGAAGTGCGACGGGGGAAAACAAAAGTTACATCGACAAATAGCGCGGAAATAATTGTGGCTTTTATTTTATGTTGCAATAATTGTAATCGTGCAATCGGTTGCTTTTCATTAAACAATAGTTTTCTGCCGGTTTAATCCAGGTTGAAACGTGAGAAATTGGCTGTTTCTTGAGGAGAGAGAGTGATGTGGAAGATTTTTAAGAATAGCGGCTGATGTTCGGTATTGATCACGCGCCGTATGAATATTCGATCGTTGCTTTAGGAACTAATTTCGTCGAGCGAATAATTTTTTGCATTACGTTGGGCTTACGTCACGCTTCGAGATCAATGTCGCTTCACCGATCTTTAAAAGGGGAAGGATGACGAAAGGTATGTCGACAAGGACGATTTTGTGATTCTTGACGAAGCTTCTATTAAGTTGGTATGAAAATAACGATTCTTCTAGAACCTCCATATCGTAATTAAAAAGAGGCTTCTACAATAACAATTTTTCCTAATTTCTAAAGTCACTGATGTATGTACGAGATACACAACTATTTTAGTATGACATAATACTATGAGATAAAAAGAAAACATTGCAAATAAACTATATATATATATATATACATATACAAAAAAAAGAAAATAGGAATACTATATATCCTAAGTTGGCCAAGAAGTAATGTCAGTATTTTTGGTATAGAATGGTATCCATTCTCTTTAAAACGGAGAGAGTTTTATTGAATTCTAACCTATAACTTTCTACCATCGTAAGTTGTATAATCCTAATTAACACATTATTATATTCGATACGTTAAAGATACCGTATTATACAAAAAAACAAAGGAATACCATTTACTGTAAAAATCCGATATTACTTATTAGCCAATCTAATATTTATATACACAAAAAATTCCTTAAATTTATTTAAATTACAATTTTTCAGCTACGAAAGAAAGAAACTGCCGTTATTTCTGTACCAACCTAATACTTGAGCGGTCGAGGCAACAACCTATTCTTTTCCGTAAGCGTCAGCTCCGAGAAAGAAAGAAAGAAGCAGGAACAGAAGAAGAGGAAAAAAAGGCACGCGTTCGTAACGTTACTCGGTCGCGGCTAATGCGCACTTCTTGTGATCGCGGCTTTTAAACAGATTCGATAAGCAATATCGACCAAAACGATCGGTGACATCTGAGCCAGTAAATTCGACGAATCGCCTTTTCTTTATCGTTTGTTATCGTCGCAATCCAGCATGCTTTAACGCGCCTCTGACTTCCGTCCTCCAGTTTGCTCAAACAAGAGAAGAAAAGGAAAAAACGAGCGACTCCCGTGGCGTAATTTCTACACGCCCGCATGTGTTTTAATCGCATCTAGACGAGACGCATGCACATAGACGAAGAACAAAGGGTGTCTTAAAAACTCACCGCGTGACTAATGTAGTTTTTTCTCTTCCTTTTCCTTTTAATTATATACGTATATCTTATATATTTACCCAGCATAATTACCTGGTCTTTTCGGTTAATGTATCTCTACTCCATTTTTTATATGCATGTAATGACTATGAAATTGATAATCCATGCTTTCAAACTTTGATTTACATATCGAGGTAGAATCAAAAGAAACGATACGCCTGGTTCAAGATTATAATGTAACCAAAAAAGGTAGTCGGTACTATGTACATACTTTCTTTTTCATCTTCAGCCCTTTCAAAAATGAATTTCTTAAAATTATTCCTGATTAAAATAGATCGACATTTATAAGTATATAAAAGAAAGAAAGAAGAAAAAAGACACAAATTCCCACAATCTCGTATCGTATAAAGAACTCCTGACAATTCGAGTGCGCAGTCACGCGACGTAGATTCATTGAGACAAGCTCCGGCGCGAAAGAAGTGGCGCGTGTATACCTATGAACGTGGCGGAGTTCCAGACGCGCGCGTTAGATCGCGAAAGTCGCCAAGCCAGCACTGACTTCTGCTAGCCACGATTTTATGGCGGCGACCAGCCGAGTATATCACGTGGCACAAGCTTGTCGGTGCGTGTTTTAATGCAGCGACGTAACGTTTTATGCGAACGCGTATGCTGCTACGCGTTGTCACTGCTCCGTTGTCATTGCTTACCGTAGACCTAAACTGCTTTGTGTCACTGGCATACGTAGGCGGTTCGAGAAAGAGAGAGAATCAGGATACACGCAGAATCACAAGCTTAATCAAAACCAGCTAAGGATTCGAGCATATAACATGCAATTAGCGTGCTTGTGCATTCAGCT